TGGGTCTTGTCCATCACATCATTCTCTAATGATGTGATCTCGTTCATCAAATGACAACACATGTCTATGGCTAGGAAACTTAACCATCTTTGATTAACGAGCTAGTCAAGTAGAGGCATACTAGGGACACTCTGTTTGTCTATGTATTCACACATGTACTAAGTTTCTGGTTAATACAATTCTAGAATGAATAATAAACATTTATCATGATATAAGGAAATATAAATAACAACTTTATTATTGCCTCTAGGGCATATTTGCTTCATCGACATCTAGAAGCAATACAAGATCGTCGACAACAGACATGAGAATGACTCTGTGGTTGATCTTGATGCGACCATCATCAATCCCTCCTACATTGGCATGAAATATGGCATTGATATGGAGAACCTGCATGCACATGAGAGCAACCCCTAGACCCAGAGTACATCATTTACATGGCGAAGGACGCTTATGCAAGCTACGACATGTGCATGCGGATCTTGGATATGAGCACGTGTTTGCCTTCTATAACAAAGGAGTCCACGGAGAGCCATATCGTTGGCAAGCGCCCCAGGAAGACGTAGATGGTGTAGTGTGTGCACCTAAGTGGCTTATATTTTTTATTGTTTTATGCATAGTGTATGCTTTAAAATATTGTATGTAAGAACCCATGAACCTCTATAGCACAAGGCAAAGGAGCCAACCACCCTTCACCAGCCAGTTGGTCTCCACAGTATACAACAATGGGGTGGATCGACAGACTCCACTCTGCCAAACAGACAACCGCAGCATCCAGAGACCTTTACCCGGTGGCGCCAAACAAACATGTAGCCCTAGAGGGCACCGAGCAGGGCAACGCAATATCGGTTTCTAGAAATCCCGGGTAAATGACCTTTAAATAGATGAGGCAAAACATGTGAAGTGAGGGGGCAACAGACAACAGACGGGGCGGGACCGAAAGGCCAAAGAATTCTACCCCTCTTTGCATTTTCAATGCAGACCAACCATAATCTCATGGCAGGCGACTGAACATATATATGCATAGACGAATGGCCGTCATAGGCTCATGCCTTGCCACAACTAAACCCGGGTACGAGAACCCATGCACCACTCGTGGCATTGACACCGAAAATCGACTCGGCAAAAGACACCTCGCAATTCACTATCGCTGGTGAAGGCCCCATCCGTGCTTAACCAGGTGACATTCAATGTCGTGTTTGCCAAGCAGATAAAGACCCTGACTATTTCCCTGAGGTCAGAATTCTACAGATTGATACTTATGGATCTCTCCCCACCAAAAACCAGCCCACCTGATTTTCACATGGGCTCTCCTCCCACCCTTGATTTCCAACCAAAACATCCCACAACAGAGCATAAGTCCATTTCCATATGATGTATCCGTAGATGTAGAAAAGCCGTTCCTTCCTACCTACGTCCAACTCTGGCTCACATTGAGTTGTGGTCGACCCCAGGGAAACAGGTCACGGGCTGGGATGAAAGGAGCAAACCCACCTTATACGTCCGCCCAGACACCAGCTCGGTGCCAGTAGGCCTTTGGGTGGGATAGCCGAGTAGGCAAACTAACCCCACGTCTATTCCAAATGCATGTTGATTAAGATGGCTTCGAGAATTGAACAGTCAAATGGATGGACGACCGGACATGACACGATGGTGTATCGTCGCCCTCTGATGTTTGATCGCCCTTCCATGCAAGCCTTTCGACTCCTTCCTCGTATAAAGCAAATACCAGCAAGGCCAGTGCACCCAACTCTCCTCCTTTCTCTCCAGAGCGTCGCAATGGCCTCTCCACCTTCTTCAATGTGTGAAGCACCATCTAGTATATGTAAACAGAAGCACCATCCGATAGTCCCACTATTGTGTCCTCTATGTGGAATGGATGAAAAGGAAACTTTTCACACGTTTGTAACCTTCCCAAATGCGTGCAACTATGGGGTCTCATGAGAGAAGAATGGTCATAGCCAAGAAGAGATGAAGTGCTCAACATGGGAAAGGAGTGGTTACCTTCATGTGTTGCCCAACAAGTTTGATGATGTCCGAGCAATGATAACTATGCTCCTATATCGAAGATGTAATCCCAAACATTACCTTCGATCATACTATGTTGACAATTTCGCTAACAACAAGTGAAGTTAAAAATCATACTGAATTGTGCCACATTGGGGATCTCCTCGAGTTAGCGCGGCCATTGGAATGAAATTCGCATGGGGACCCCTCCCCCAAGTGGAAGCTGCAAAAAAGAAATTATGTTCTTTTGCCGTATATGAAACTAGGTGATTTCCCCGCGTACTACGATGGGAATTTACATATTAATTCAAATGAATTATGTATTAAGACAATGATCTAAATCAAAAGGTACAACTTTTTTAATGTAGAAATGTTGCATACTTACACTGCGTGTGAACGACGAGTATGCATGTGGTTTGCATGGGGCTATAAAATAGTAACAGTGGACGCTAACATGATACACTTGGTGAGGTAGAAGGCCGCATGTTGAGAGAATTAGAATTAGTGAGAATCAACTATTTATAAATAGTAGATTTAATGATTAGAAATTATTTATAATAGGACCATCCTGCCCGTGGGAGTTTCATGGAGATTCTATGTAATTATAATATGGCGTCACTTTTGCCAGCTCGAACTCTATGTGTGGACAAAATCATCAAGGGAAAGGCTCAAATATTTTGTGTCTGATGACTCCGAAAGTGGAACCTAAAACTAATATTAAACCCTAGCCATGGCGATTTGGGTTCCCTATATATGGATGGGTTTGTTGAAGAGAATGTTGGCAAAACTCCTCAAAATACTAGATTGCATGCGTAGCCGACCTTAACTCTAGGACGCCAATATCTAGTGTTTGATCGCCGGGAGCTGCCCCCAACGAATGAACCATTCGCTAGGGGATCTGCTCCCAACGACCCTTTCTGCTCGTCCGCTAGTTGGCAGCCCAGCGCGACCTCCTAGACCCAAAAGGCCTAGTTATTTTTTAAATGCCACATTACAAGTTTCATTTTTTTGATTGATCCATATTTTCTTTCGCCATCCTAAACTTAAAAACTGCCATCCTCTAGATATGTGCTCCTTGCCGGTATAAAATATGTGCTCCTTCGTCTCCTTAATTACCTTCATCTTCTTCTCCTCTCGTTCCACTCATGTAATTAGGCAAAGTTACTGATGTTGTTCTCCCTATTCATCTTCTCCAAAAAAAAGTAAATTTTTATTGATCGGGTGTTCTAACAGCTTCTTCAAATTTAAGTAGTGGATCTGCGTCATCCGTGTTGTCTCCATGGCGACTCGGTGTCTATGCATGTTCCGATCAAATTTTCCATTAGTGTTGCTGCGTCTAAGCATCCCCTAGAACAAAGAGAAAGAGAGAGAGAGTGTGTGTTGCATATATTTTGGAGGGTAACTATATTGGATTGGTATGTGCAACCCCAGAAAAGATTGTGGAATATACCACATAAATGGCGATTGGATTTGTATTGGAATCATTTTGTACTATAGTATTTGTGCACGTGCTCAAATTTATGAATAGTTCATTCTATCATCTACATAATACATACCATATACATATTTGACGGTTTACCTGGGAGACTTTCTAATTCACCTTCATCGATAGAACGGACCCAACACACTATGCCTCCTGACATTTTTTTTTCAATGAGCTTCTACTATTCGATGAAAGAGTTTATTTATAATATTAAACATTATAAGCAACAAATTCCCGCAGCAACGCGCGGGTCTCATCTAGTTGACATTAAAATTTTCATCCTCTTTATAATAAATATCCCATTTCAACAATAATAAAAATGTCACGCTCTCCAAAATAAAACTGCCACCTGTTAATAATAAAAACTACCATCTCCTAATAATAAAATGCCATCCTTTTGACAAAAGGTAAAAGTTTTCATATTACTAATAATAAATGACATGCTCTTAAAAATAAAACTGCCATTCTTTTAATAATGAAAGTGCCATGTAATTAATTATTAAAATGCCATGCTCGAATTAAAAACTGCCATGGGGGCATTGTAAAAACATGGGCAAAATTGTCATGCTAAATATAATAAAAATGCACATGACACATTTAGAAAAATATCGCCTCCAAAAATTATAGAGATTTTCGTTCTATCAAGCAGTGGCAACTTTCAGGATTTTGTTTGCAAATGAAATAACGAATTTAAAACAAAATAACTTGAATATATAAAAGTTGTTTGAGCGGAAAGTGTTCACAACCACCTCTCTAGCCTACCTCTCTGCTTCTTCTTTTTTTTTGAAGGAAAAAGAAAAAAGGACGCTCGCCAAGAGATGAGCCACAACGACCACTTTCAGAGAGCTGACATGGTGTCGGATTTGCGTTAAGATCTGTGTGACTAAATCAGACGGCAGGGACATTGTTTGCTGAAACCTGACTGAGGGTCGCCAATTACCTCTATTTTCATGTACTAATAAAACTTACTAATTCCACCAGAAAAAGGAACCAAAACAGAACAAAGAAGAAGTGTTCAACTCTACGACGCTTTTGGTAAAGAAAAAAACAAAGTAAAAGAGGTTTTACCACCATGGCCTCTACGTAGTCCGTACCCTTCTCCCTTCCCGCAACCATCTTCTCCCCTAAAATCTCCCCAACTCCCAACTCCTCCGCCCATCCAAATACCATAAACGCACTCCAACACCTTCCTCCGCGTCCTAAAGTACCAGTCTTTCCGCTAAATCCCGCTTATCCCCCCGTCTTTCCTCGCCCGTACAGCCCCCGGAACCAAGATCGATCCTTCCTCGAGGCCCAGTCGCCGGATTGGAGCATGAGGCTCCGATCCGCGCCGCCGGCGACGCCGCGGCTGCTGCTGTTGCTGGCCGTGCTCCTGTACGGCTTCTGCTGCTGCTGCGAGGGGAGATTCGTCGTGGAGAAGAACAGCCTCAAGGTCACGGCGCCGGACTCTCTTAAGGGCAGCTACGAGTGCGCCATTGGCAACTTCGGCGTGCCGCAGTACGGGGGCACCATGGTCGGCGTCGTCGCCTACCCTAAGTCCAACCGGAAGGCCTGCAAGAGCTTTGACGACTTCGACATCTCCTACAAGGCCAAGTCCGGGTCCTTGCCCACCTTCTTGCTAGTCGACCGGGGAGGTGAGCAGATTACTGTAGAGAATTGTTTCCTTTCCTTTTGCCTGCACGGATATAATTGGCCCTAGAAGTGAGATAAGTATCTTTTGTTAATTCGTCTAGTCTTTTCTGTGCGTTGAAAATTAGATCTTGGCATGTGATGATAGTGATTGAGCTGAATGTTAGTTGACCGGATTTCGTACAACGACGAAATCCCTGTCTTACAGTCTGGGTCACACTTAGAATCTGAAAAGCCTTTACCGTGAACACCTCCTGTGATTTCTTTAGTACCCATGTCACTTTCTTGGTGTTTGACCTCTCTGTGATGTTCCGCTGATTTTGTTTCAGCCGATTCTTGTTTAACATTCTTATTTGTCTGCTTGGCCATGTTGCATTCTACTCGGTCAATTAAAATATGCTCAATCATGTTGTGTTTAAGTAAAATATGCCGTTGATTACATAAAACATGGTTTTTCCTGTTCTATATAGATTGCTTCTTCACAAAGAAGGCATGGAATGCTCAGAACGCGGGAGTGGCGGCTATTCTGGTTGCTGATGACAAGGACGAGCCTCTAATTACAATGGATACACCTGAAGAGAGCGGAAGGGCTGATTATTTAGAGAACATCACCATACCATCAGCGCTGATAACAAAGAGCTTTGGGGACAGACTCAGGAAAGCAGTCGATGGCGGTCACATGGTTAATGTGAATTTAGATTGGAGGGAGTCCCTGCCTCACCCTGATGAGCGTGTTGAATACGAGTTCTGGACCAACAGTAACGATGAATGTGGTCCCAAATGCGACAGCCAGATTGATTTCGTTAAGAGCTTTAAAGGACCAGCACAGATACTTGAGAAAAAGGGATACACACAGTTTACTCCTCATTACATTACCTGGTATTGCCCGGAGGCCTTCACACTAAGCAAGCAGTGCAAATCCCAGTGTATCAACCATGGAAGGTACTGTGCACCTGACCCGGAACAGGATTTCAGCAAAGGGTATGACGGGAAAGACGTGGTGGTTCAAAATTTGCGTCAAGTATGTGTTTATAAAGTTGCGAAGGAGAATAAGAAACCTTGGTTATGGTGGGACTACGTGACCGATTTTGCAATCCGCTGCCCAATGAAGGAAAAGAAGTATACCAAGGAATGTGCTGATGGAGTTATCAAGTCACTTGGTATGTTGGTCTTTGCATCGCCTCTTTATTATCTTTTAAGGTGAAGTGTAGATAATTGTATTGAACATGTTCATGATTTTCAGGACTTGATCACAAAGCAATAGATAAGTGTATTGGTGATCCAAATGCTGATGAAGAAAATCATGTGCTGAAAGCTGAACAGGATGCTCAGGTTAGTACTTGGTACTTTTGTATGATTTATTTCTTCCATTCACCCCGCTTGTGATCATGTTGTATCATAATGGACCGTCTTACATAGATTGGCAAAGGTGCTCGTGGTGATGTCACTATCTTACCAACACTGGTCATTAATAATAGACAATACAGAGGTGTGTGCTCCGTCCACCAATGCAAATAACTATAGCTACCAGCAAAGTTACGTGGTTCTGGTTGTGCTTATCCTAACATTTGCTTCTCAGGGAAACTTGACAAAGGGGCAGTTCTTAAAGCACTTTGTGCAGGTTTCCAGGAAACCACTGAGCCTGCCGTCTGCTTGAGTGAAGGTTAGTGCATTCATGTCCATACCCTTTTCCTTGGTGCTGCTTTGTGAGTAGGGCAAGCATAACCTGTCTTGTATCCTTCTCTTAAACATCTTCAAATCTTGTTATCCAATTGTAGATATACAAACCAACGAGTGCTTGGAGAATAATGGTGGCTGTTGGCACGATAAGGCTGCTAACATATCTGCATGCAAGGTACTTGTGGTGGTCTTATCTTCTCTGCTAAGTTCTAGTTCATGGGATAACACTCTTCTCTTTTTAGCATATGCATATGATGTTACTTGTGTGTTGTATATGTAGGATACTTTCCGTGGTAGAGTTTGCGAATGCCCGGTTGTGAAAGGTGTAAAATTTGTTGGTGATGGCTACACCCATTGTGAAGGTACCTATACAAGGAAATTAGGATAATATTTTCTTTGTTTATTTTTCAGTATTGAAATAATGTCATGGACCATACCCTGCCTCTGATAGTACTTTCTACCACTCTAACCCTATACCCGAACAAGCAAGTTTAGTCTCATTGAATATTGTTATACCTGCCCTTGTTATTTTAGCTTCAGGATCTGGTCGCTGTGAGATTAACAATGGTGGATGTTGGAAAGAGACCAGGAATGGCCTGACACACTCTGCCTGCACTGTAAGTCATCAGTTCAGATTTTTGCTAACCTTAATGCTGCCACATGTATTATCTGAAATCTAAAGGCATATTTCTGGTGTTCATAACCTGCAGGATGGTGGCTGTAAATGTCCAGTTGGGTTCAAAGGTGACGGTGTCCACAAATGTGAAGGTAAGAGTCAGTCCCCAAACTCCATTATGCTATCACAAGTGTTTGTTTGCCGTGCAGAATTAGTAGCTTTCGGTGCGCAAATATGAATATGAACCTATAGAAACAATTCTTTTGGACTAACCTGTAGGTTGTAGTTTTTAAAAAATAACAAAAATGTTTTGTGTTTGAGTGAAGAAATATGAATATCCACCTAGAATTCCATCACAATCCAAGCACACTGAACATTGTTGGTCATATTATTGGCACTCCTTAGTTGCTGTGCTGATGTGAAATATTTTGTGCTAGATGTTGATGAGTGCAAGGAAAGGACTGCATGCCAGTGCAAGGAATGCAAATGCAAGAACACTTGGGGAAGCTACGAGTGCGGGTGCGGTGGTGGCTTGCTGTACATGAAGGAGCATGATACGTGCATAAGTATGTGCATATCTCCTATAACAAGCTTACTATTGCCCCAGCAGTTGCGCCTATATACTTAAGCTAATTAAACCTGTGATATTTGGAGGCCATAAGATCCCCCAAAATGCAGGCTAGCTATAATAATCTATATGATGCTCGCTCATCTTATTTGTGTTTGTTTCTTCAATAGATTATCTATTAAAAGCTTACAAAGTCAACACATTTTATTCAGGCAAGGATGCAGGAGCACGGGTAGGCTGGAATTTCCTATGGTTTCTATTGTTTGGCCTAGCGGCAGTAGGAATCGCAGGATACGCGGTGTACAAGTACAGGATCCGGGTAAGATACTTGTACAGATTGACTGTTAGACATGGACAACTCTAGGCTGTCGTCTAAACCTTGTCTGTACTGCTTTTTTTTTCTACATATACAGAGCTACATGGATTCAGAGATCCGCGCTATCATGGCGCAGTACATGCCCCTGGACAACCAAGGAGAGATCCCCAACCATTCTCACCATATTGAGATGTGAAGAGCAGCAGCACAGTTGGTATGTTTCAGCTTATTGGAAGGATGATTAGAGGAAGAGAAGAACACTTGTCTTGCATATGTTGTGTGTAGCGTACTCGGTCAGACCATCCTGTAAATTCGTTGGTAGATCAAACTGGAAGAGAAACACTTTCCTTGTATGGTGTGATCAGCTCTTCCTTTTCTGTTTTTTAATAGGAGAAGAGATGCCAAACCATGTCATGTGTGCTTCTTTTAACTACTAGGTTCTCCTTTTTAACCCATGGTGATGATTATACTAAATTAGAGATTTGTTAAACTGGATGTAGATTAGTAGTAGTTCCAGCTGTCTTGCGTTGGTAAAAGAGGAGGAAGATAAGAGTACACGGTAGTAGCTTAACATCTCTCTAAAGGCTAAGTAGTAGTAGTATGATAATAATTGCATACCAGTACTTGAATTAGAAAGGGTGGCTGGATCATGTTAGGTTGTTGTAGAGGCCACGTCCGATTTTGATTGCAGGGAGTGGGACTCTCCAACAAATTTTGGAAAGGAATGGAATGACCTGCCTCTGTGCCCACTAACCCTGCACGCCTTCTACACCTTACCCTGTCCCCGCCTTATATACGAAAAAACAAAAAGACAATGGTGGATGCAGGAAGATGCTAGCAAGTACGGTTTAAGCTCCATCGCAAAATGCGTGTCTTAGATTTATCCAGATACAGAGGTTGTATCTTGTACACCTTACCTTGTCTCTGCAAAATGCTTGTCTTAGATTTAAACAGATGGGGTGTTGTATCTTCTAAACCTTACCCTGTCCTTGCATTGCCTTCTGTACGAAAAAACAAAAAGGCAATGGTCGATGTTGTATCTTCTACACCTTACCCTGTCCCTGCAAAATGCTTGTCTGTCCCTGCCTTCTATACGAAGAAACAAAAAGGCAATAGTAGATGCAGAAAGATGCTAGCAAGTAGGAGTATTACCCTCATCCCAAAAATCTTGTTTTACATTTGTCTAGATACAGATATATCTAACACTGAAACATCTAGACAAATCTAACCTCTGTCTCAAATCACCTGTCTTAAGTTTGTTTAGATAAAAGATGTATCTAACACTAAAACGTGTCTGCATAAGTAGAAAAATCTAAAACAAATAATCAGAAACGGAGGGAGCACGTAGTAAAAGGAGAACCATTTGCGTGAACGATTGTTGACCACGAGATGCACCTAACCCCCTAAACCCTCCGCTGTTTGTTTGGACGCTTACTTCAGTGGTAGTTGTATCTCACAGTCTCAGTACAGCCACATGTCCACCCCTGCTATTCCCACCTACCCCTACTCCACCCCCATCGCACGGAAGCACGACGATAAAACGCCCACACTCTTCCATCTCTGCCATAACAAACGCAAAGCTGCTCCATCAACTTCCTCTTTGTTTCTCTTTCATCTGTTGACCTCTGCAAGAAAACAAGTAAGCTTCTCCAGTTCTACTCTTATTAACTATCATGAGTGAAAAAGAAAATATATTCAGCTTTTGATCGAATTTCGCTTGAACTGCAGTGGGATCGGAGCAGGAGAAGAAGGCCGCCGCCACGGTGGAAGTGGAAGGCATCCCGTTCCCGCGGGAAATCGCCGGCGCCAAGGCGCTCTCGCTCGTCGGCCATGGCAAGCACCAGAATCCTGGACTGACGAAACCGATACGAATGCATCTTTTTTTATTTTTGACGAAAGTAAGTTCTTCAACGTGCAGGCGTCACGGACATTGAGATCCACTTCCTTCAGATCAAGTTCAACGCCGTCGGGGTCTACCTCGACGTCGACGGCGCCATGGAGCATCTGCAGGGCTGGAAGGGGAAGAGCCAGCTGATGGAGGACGAGGCTTTCTTCGACGCCCTGGTCTCCGGTGAGACGATGGATGCATGACAATCGACCTCCGACAAGTGACGTTGGTCATATGTTTCTGACACGATGTTGCGCGTGCATGCAGCTCCGGTGGAGAAGGTGCTGAGGGTGGTGGTGATCAAGGAGATCAAGGGGTCGCAGTACGGCGTGCAGCTCGAGAGCTCCGTCAGGGACCGCCTCGTGGCGGCGGACAAATACGAGGACGACGAGGAGGAGGCGCTCGAGAAGGTCTCCGACTTCTTCCAGTCCAAGTACTTCAGGCCCGGCTCCGTCGTCACCTTCCACTTCCCGGCCACGCCCACCGCCGCGCCAGAGATAACGTTCGTGACAGAAGGCAAGGAGGAGGCCAAGGTGGCGGTGGAGAACGCGGCCGTGGCGGAGATGATCCAGAGGTGGTACCTCGGCGGCGAGTCGGCGGTGTCGCAGACCACCGTCAGGAGCATCGCTGATAGTTTCGCGGCAATGCTCTCCTCACCATGATTCTTTTTTTTGAGGGCACCATGATTCTTTTTTTACAAGTGCTGCTTACCTGCTTTTGCAATAAATCGATAAGTCACGATGAAATATTTCAAAAAACACTTGCTGGCGAAGCCTTACCGGAACTTTGGCAAGTCGATCCAACGCTGTACATCCAACCATTTCTAATTTTTTCGATAAAGAGCACTTTATTATATAGAGTAAACGATTTAAGTATTACATCCGGTCTTTCATAACTAAGATACACACAAGTGAATGGTAAATTTAATCAGCACTCGCTTTCTCTAGGTGACGATCCATAAATAGAATTATATCATCAGCATATTGAAGGATAGAAAGTCCACCATCGACAAGGTGATCAACTACCCCATCAATTTGACTATCAACGTTTGGATGCTCAATCATGACAAATAACATATCAACCATTATATTAAATAGCACGGGCAATAATGAGTCACCTTGTATCAATCCTTTCTTCGTTTCGAAGTAGCGGCCAATGACATCATTGACTTTAATGGCCACACTACCTCCTCAAACAAAGCTATGAATCAAAGTGCGCCACTCTGTAGAGAAGCCTTTCATTCTGAGAGTCTGTTGAAGAAAATACCACTTGATTTTATCATAAGTTTTCTCAAAGTCAATTTTGAGGACTACCCCATTCAACTTATTCCGATGTAGTTCACGAACCATTTCATGAAGGATTACCACCCCATCTAGGATATTTCTACCTTGCATGAGAGCAGTATGGGAAGGGCGAACCACATGGTCAGCCATTGAGTTTATCCTAATCATCGCAACTTTCGTGAAGATTTTAAAACTAACATTAAGGAGGCAAATATGTCTATACTGTTGTATCCTTACCGCCTCATTAACCTTAGGCAATAAAATTATCTCACCAAAGTTTAGGCGAAACAAATCTAGTTGTCCAGCATGGAGGTGGCCAAACAAATCTAGAAGGTTCGGTTTGATAACCTCCCAGAAGTTCTGATAGAACTCAGCTCAAAGACCATTTGGACCCGGGGCCTTGTTGTACTCAATTAGGAAAACCGCCTTCTTTACCTCCTCCTCGGAGGAAGGATCTGTTAGAAGGTTATTTTTCTCAAATAGAAACTTGGGGAATATCATCTATTTGGGACTCATCCATCGAGAAGTTACCCTCTTCTCGAGCCCCAAACAGATTTTTATAATAATTAGTAATATACAATTTAAGTTGCTCATGACCTTCAATCGTACTCTCCTCCTGTATAAGAGAATGAATAAGTTTCTTCGGGTGTATGCCATTGACTACATAATGAAAGTATCTAGTATTCGAATCCCCTTTGAGAATAAATTGAGAGTTTGAATGCTGGTACCATTTGAGCTCCTCTTCTCTTAGAAGTCAAGCTATTTGTGCATTTGATTGGCTCTTGATTGCAATTTCATGTTCAGATAGCGGTCGAACCTCTGCTAGAGCTTCCAAGTCGTCAATAATAGACGTGAGATGAACCTTCTCTTTTTTGAGGATACCCACAGTATGCCTAGCCCAACCACTAAGGAACTTACATATTGCATGTATTTTATTATTCCATTTGTGTATTGGAGTACGCCCAGCAACAGGTTTCTCCCACACTTCCTTGACCATATCATGAAAGCATCACGGAGAAGCCAACCAAGTTCAAACTTTAATTTGCGTATACTCTGTGGTCGTGGCAAACTAGTGGTTAGAAGATGGGGGCATGGTCAGAGAGAGCCTCGACATGAGGTAATGCATGCATAAAAACCATAGGGAATTTAGATTCCCATTTTCTATCTGTTAACATGCGATCAAATTTCTCGTATGTTGGTTTGGGAAGACTGTTTGCCCAAGTGAGTGTTCTCCAATGATGGAAACCTCTCGTAAATCAAGACTCTCAATAACAACGTTGAACAGGAAAGACCAATGACGATCAAACCTACCACGACTTTTCTCGTTTGGAAATCTTAGCAGATTAAAATCACCACCTATCAGAATAGGACATGGATTATATTTTGCCAGATTAACCAGCTCACGAAGAAATTCGGCCTTGAATTCATCCTGGGCTGCACCATACAGAGCGACAAGAGTCCATGTGAAGTTGTTGACTTTGTTATGGATATGGATTTTAATATGATATTTACCATTCGAACTAGCCAACACATCCATAGTCCTACTATTCACGCCAAGTAATATGCCCTAGAATGACTCCTAGGCGAACGTGAAATACAAGTGAAGTCTATGCTGCTCGAAAGACGGTTAATAAGATTCACGTCTACCCGTTTCTGAAATAGCAAAAAAATTCTAGATCATGCACCCTATTGCAATCCGCAATGAATAAATATTTAGCCAAGTCACCAAGACCTCCGCTATTATAAAACATGTCATTCATTATGAAGCAATGGAAGATTTAGACATTTTGGCCCTCTTAGATGACTTTTGACCCTTTTTCGAACGAGAGGCTTTAGATTTACATTGGGATGCTGTAAGTTCATGCAACGAACTAAGCCCAGGTTCATCCAAGCCCACATCCAAATCCTCTTCCACTACATGAGCTAGGAGCTGGCTATCTACTGTGGCATGCTCCTCCTCCTCATCTAGATGAGGGGGATTGGGTTTGCTAGAAACCAGTGGAGTAACCTTTAATCGGCCATACTCCATATGACTCAAAGCATTAGTCAAAACAGAAATTTCCATCTCATTAGTACCTAGACTAAGACCAACATTATTTAGGTTTGAAGCAATTGTAGTAATAGAGAAAATTAAAAAGACTTGGATGACAAGAATATACCTGTGTTGTTGAGGTTATGTGATACGTCTCCAACGTATCTATAATTTTTGATTGCTCCATGCTATATTATCTTCTGTTTTGGACATTATTGGGCTTTATTATCCACTTTTATAGTATTTTTGGGACTAACCTATTAACCGGAGACCCAACCCAGAATTGCTATTTTTTTTGCCTATTTTAGGGTTTTGAAGAAAAGGAATACCAAACGGAGTCCAAACGGAATGAAACCTTCGGAAATGTGATTTTTGGAACAAACAAGACCCAGGAGACTTGGACCCTACGTCAAGCAACCAACAGGGAGGCCACGAGGTAGGGGGCACGCCTACCCCCCAGGCGCGCCCTCCACCCTCGTGGGCCCCCTGTTGCTCCACCGACGTACTTCTTCCTCCTATATATACCTACGTACCCCCCAACGATCAGATACGGAGCCAAAATCCTAATTCCACCATCGTAACTTTCTGTATCCACGAGATCCCATCTTGGGGCCTGTTCCGGAGCTCCGCCGGAGGGGGCATCGATCATGGAGGGCTTCTACATCAACACCATAGCCTCTCCATGAAGTGTGAGTAGTTTACCTCAGACCTTCGGGTCCATAGTTATTAGCTAGATGGCTTATTGTCTCTTTTTGGATCTCAATACAAAGTTCTCCCCCTCTCTTGTGGAGATCTATTCGATGTAATCTTCTTTTGCGGTGTGTTTGTTGAGACCGATGAATTGTGGGTTTATGATCAAGTTTATCTATGAACAATATTTGAATCTTCTCTGAATTCTTTTATGTATGATTGGTTATCTTTGCAAGTCTCTTCGAATTATCAATTTGGTTTGGCCTACTAGATTGATCTTTCTTGCAATAGGAGAAGTGCTTAGCTTTGGGTTCAATCTTGCGGTGTCCTTTCCCAGTGACAGTAGGGGCATCAAGGCACGTATTGTATTGTTGCCATCGAGGATAACAAGATGGGGTTTTCATCATATTGCATGAGTTTATCCCTCTACATCATGTCATCTTGCTTAAAGCGTTACTCTATTCTCTTGAACTTAATACTCTAGATGCATGCTGGATAGCGGTCGATGTGTGGAGTAATAGTAGTAGATGCAGGTAGGAGTCGGTCTACTTGTCTTGGACGTGATGCCTATATACATGATCATACCTAGATATTCTCATAACTATGCTCAATTCTGTCAATTGCTCAACAGTAATTTGTTCACCCACCGTAAAATACTTATGCTCTTGAGAGAAGCCACTAGTGAAACCTATGGCCCCCGGGTCTATCTTCATCATATTAAATCTTCCAATACTTAGTTATTTTCTTTACTTTTATTTTACTTTGCATCTTTATCATAAAAATACCAAAAATATTATCTTATCATATCTATCATATCTCACTCTCGTAAGTGACCGTGTAGGGATTGACAACCCCTTATCGCGTTGGTTGCGAGGATTTATTTGTTTTGTGTAGGTGCGAGGGACTCGCGCGTAGCCTCCTACTAGATTGATACCTTGGTTCTCAAAAACTGATGGAAATACTTACGCTACTTTGCTGCACCACCCTTTCCTCTTCAAGGGAAAACCAACGCAAGTGCTCAAGAGGTAGCATTATGCACCACTTTACGACGCATTGCCTTGGCCAAGGAATCCTCATTCCTATCGATCCACCCATCCTCAGCAATCGTATGTCGGCTACTACGACGAGACGGGGTCATCTCCACTGAAGCATGCCACATGTGCTTAGTTGTCGGTGGAGGGGATGAAGTTGGTGTAGAAACCCCCTCCCCAACAACATCGATCAAAGGCTCGGGTGAAGATGACACAATGGTCGGTGTAGACGGAGCAGGAGCACCGGTCGATGTAGTCGGAGCAAAAGTTGTGGTCGGTGGGGATGCAACCCCTGTCGAGACCACCAACTCCTTCACATCAGTGATTAGGGTAGGGACCCCCTGTGAGGATGACGACCCAGTCATGGTGTCCGGCTTCCGGCCCAGCCACTGCACGTGTAGGCCGGCCTGCTGCACTGCAGCGCCCGCCGAGGCCTGCACAGCCGTGCCCGCCGATGTCTTCACCATGATGAGGCCCGAGGTGCCTCGAGATTAGTCCCGCGGCCTTGCCAGCCCACCGGATGTAGCGAGCGCCACCTCCATCCCTGTTGGCGAAGACGGCCGCGTCGTATGCGTGGTACGTGGAGAGGAAGCTGACAAAGTCTCCTGGCGCGACATCTTTGGTGA